TACACTATGACCAAGAAAGATTCATCCCAGGGATGCAGGGACAATTCAACATACATAATCAAAAAATACAATACTTAATATCAACAGAACCAAGGACAAAAACCATGTGATTATCTCAATAGATGCAGAAAAAGCATTTGAGAAAGCCCAACACTCATTCGTGATAAAACCCCTACAGAAAATTGGAATAGATGGTCTTTACCTCAATCTGATAAAAGCCATGTACTACAAACCAATAGCCAACATCATACTAAATGGACAAAAACTGAAAGCTTTCACTCTACAACCAAGAACAAGACAAGGATGTCCAGTGTCACCACTCTTATTCATTATAGTTCTAGAAACAGCCACAGCAATTAGACAAGACAAAGAAATGAAAGGAATAACAATAAGAAAAAAGTTAAATTATCATTATTTGTGGGTGACATGATACTCTACATAGAAGAACCCAAAAACTCCACCAAAAGACTTCTAGATTTGATAACCAAATTCAGTAGTGTAGCTGGGTACAGTCAGCACCCAAAAATCAATAGCCTTCCTGTACAAAAATAACAAACTCACTGAGAGAAAAATTAAAGAAACAACACCTTTCACAATAGCATCCAAAAAAATGAAATATCTAGGAATCAATCTAACCAAGGAAGTAAAAGACCTCTACATTGAAAACTACAGTACTCTGAAAAAAGAGATCAAAAAGAATATGAGAAAATGGAAAGTTAACCCTTGTTCTTGGGTAGGAAGAACAATATAGTGAAAATGGCCATGCTTTCAAAACTGTTATACAAATTTAATGCAAACCCAATCAAAATTCCAACAGCATATCTCACAGAATTAGAGAAAACAATCCTAAAATTCATTTGGAATCAGAAGATATCTAGAATAGCAAAGGCAATTCTGGGCAACAAAGGCAAGGCAGGGGGCATCAAAATCCCTGATGTAAAATTATACTACAAAGCTACTGTGCTAAAAACAGCATTGTACTGGCAAAAAAAAAAAAACACAAAAAACAGACCTGAGGACCAATGGAACAGATTAGAAGATGCACAAACACCTACAGACACACTCAGTCACCTTATCTTTGACAAAAGAGCCAAACACCTTCACTGAAAGAAAGTTAGTTTCTTTAATAAATGGTGCTGGGAAAAACTGGGTTTCCACTTGCCAAAGATTAAAACTAGACCCATATCTTTCACCATGCACTAAACTAAAATCAAAACAAATCAAAGATCTAAATATTAAAATGGAAATACTACATCTGCTAGAATAGAGAATAGGTAGAATGCTTGAGGACATAGGAGTAGCCAGATTTCATAAACAAAACTCAGACTGCATGCAAAATACTACAAAGAATCAACAACTGGGATCTCATCTTAATAAAAAGCTTTTACACAGCAAGAGAAACCACCAACAGAGTGAAGATACAACACACAACATGGGAAAAAATTTTAGCATCTATTCATCAAAGGACTATTATCTAGAATATATAAAGAACTCAAAAAAATCACACCCCCAAAATTTAAAGATCCAGTGCAAAAATGGGCATCTGAAATAGACACTTCTCAGATGAAGAAGTAGAAAGAGTAAATAAACATATGAAAAAATGTTCAACATCAGTGGTCATTTGTGAAATGCAAATTAAAACAATGCTGAGATTCCATCTCACTCCAGAAAGAATGGCTGCTATCAAGAAATCAAATGATAACAAATACTGGAAGGGTGGTGGGAAAAAGGAACCTTTCTCCACTGTTGGTAGGAGTGTCGACTACTGCAACCACTGTGGAAATCAGTGTGGAGATTGCCCAAAAAAACTAAAACTAGAGGTTCCGATTGACACCGGTATTCTTCTTCTTGGTATCTTCCCCCCAAAATTTAAAGCATCATACCACAGCGATATATCCACACTCATGTTTATAGTGGCATAGTTTGTAATAACTAAATCTTGGAAACAGCCCAGATGCCCATTACTGGATGAATAGATAAGGAAGACATGGTTTTTTTATACAATGGAGTACTACTCTGTCATAAAGGATGAGCTTCAAACATTTCTAGCTAAATGGATGCACCTTGAGATTCTACTCTTAAGTGAGATAAATCAGACACACATTTAAATACCACATAGTTTCTCTGGTGTAAGAAACCAAAAGTGGAAATAAGGACCAAAATGTGTAATAGATACTGGGAAATGGGAAGAAAATGTTGAAATGAGAATAGGAACACGGGAGGGAGGAGGGGGAAGGAAAGAAGGGACAAGAAAAAAAAAGTAAAGAAAATTTAAAGAAAAAATGGAAGCAAAGCTTTTGTACAAAAGGGAAAGGGGGGAATGCGGGAAAAAAAGCAAGATATATCATGCACTGGTACAAATTCCCTATGATGAATGTTATCATATATATATATAATGTACTAATACATT